GCTCTTCTCGTGTAGGTGAACTCCACTACGACCCTGAGATCGAGAAAATAGTTCGCCGCTTAAGGAAAGAAGCCAAGCAACGCCGCAACCAATCAGCATCACTCCCCACTTCCGAAGTGAAGTCAGCTGCAGAAATCGTTGAGCCATCCAACCATTCTGAAGAAGAAGTCATGGCCAACAACGAAGAAAGAACCCTTAGAGAGCTAGCTGCACCGGATCTGCACCAACAACCTCTCTACATCGAATATGCMGATCTAGCGGTACCCTTTAAACTTAAATCAAGTCTTATACACTTACTCCCTACTTTTCGTGGACTTACAGGCGAAGACCCTCACAAGCACCTAAAATAATTCCACGTAGTATGCTCAAGCATGAAGCCTCAAGGTGTTACCAAGGAACAGATCAAACTGCGTGCCTTTCCTTTCTCACTAGCTGATAAGGCTAAGGATTAGCTGTACTACCTACCCTCCGGTTCCATCACCACATGGAATGATATGAAAAGGCAATTCCTTGAGAAGTTCTTCCCTACCTCCCGAGCCACTAACATCAGAAGAAACTCTCTACGAATACTGGGAGAGATTCAAGCAACTATGTGCCAGCTGTCCACAACATTAAATTCCAGACCAGCTCCTTATCCAATATTTTTACGAAGGGTTACTACCAATGGATAGGAGTATGATCGATGCAGCAAGCGGAGGAGTGTTGGTGAACAAAACTCCTACACAAGCAAGAGAGTTGATCTCAAACATGGCAGCCAACTCTCAACAGTTCGGCTATAGGCTCAACCCTCCAACAACTCATGCTAATGAGGTAAACATCTCCTCCCTAGAACATAAAATTGCAAGCCTGACCTCTCTTATCTGTCAAATGGCCACAGGTAATACACAAACGGTGAAGGCTTGCGGGATTTGCTCAACTCTGGGACATCTAACTGACATGTGCCCTACGCTTCAAGATGAACCTTACGAACAAGATAATGCTGTTGGGGGATTCTCGCAAAAGAGATACGATCCCTACTCGAACACCTACAATGCAGGATGGAGGGATCATCCCAACCTGAACTWTGGAACCAAGCCCTTCGGCTTCCAACATCAGCATCAAACCAGGCCGTCGGCTCCACCATATTCAGCCTCCCCCAACTCAGGTATGTCTCTCGATGAAATTGTGAAAGCCCTTGCAACTAATACTCAACAATTTCAACAGGAGACAAGGACAAGTATCCGAAACCTGGAGAATCAGGTCAGCCAGCTAGCGACAGCTATGAGTCAAATGGAATCCCAATCATTAGGGAGGCTACCTTCTCAGACCACGACCAACCCGAAACAAAATGCTAGCGCTATCACGTTGAGAAGCGGGAAGGAACTGAATGAACCCTATCAAGAAGCATCCAAAGATACAACTAGAAAGGAGACACCATCCCAAACGGATTCAAGTGGAAAGCCACCCCAATCCATAGTCATCGCTCCACCTTTCCCTAGTCGATTTGCAAAATCCAAGAAGGAGGAGCAAGACAAAGACATTTTCGAGACCTTCCGCAAAGTTGAGGTAAACATCCCCCTCCTTGATGCAATTAAGCAAGTACCCTGCTATGCCAAATTTCTCAAGGAGTTGTGCACTACTAAGAGAAGGCTRAAAGGCGATGAGAAGGTCCATATAGGAGAAAATGTTTCAGCCATTCTCCAGAAAAGACT